TTTGCTGATGGAAAACACAAGCCAACTGTTCTTATGATCTGTTGGTAAGTCTTTCTGGTTCATGCGTCTTCTTTATTCAAGATTATATATACGAGTTTGATAAGTTTGTTTCATGAACGTATTAATTCTTCCATCTGCAATTCTTTTTGCTCAGCTAGTGACTGTTCTTGTAATGAAAGTAGTAGCAAGCTAGCATTGGTAGCAAGTGACGAGTGATCATGTTAAGATTGATCGTATCAAATTAAGCTAGTATATATCCATCGTTAAGAGTTTTAGGAATTTTCTGATAAATATAAGTTGTGTGGGTTCTTGTACTCTTAGATTTCAATTTCTCTTAATGAATGTTCAGCTGTTGAAGTGGGTGCTCTTTTTATGTCTTTAGGAGAAAAAGGAGAGCAGTTAATGATTTCGATTCTTAGTGATTGAGGAAGACACAATCATGTAACTGTCTGATATGGCATCTTCATCTGCTGTTGCTCATGAATGGAAGTATGATGTGTTCCTTAGTTTTGGAGGCGAGGATACGCGCGACAACTTTACCAGCCATCTCTATCGTGAATTGCGTAGGATTGAAATCAAGACCTTCATTGACTATAGGCTTCGAAGAGGACAAGAAATTACCCCTGCCCTTCTGAAAGCAATTGAAGAATCAAGAATTTCTGTAGTAATTTTCTCCAAGAACTATGCATCTTCTCAGTGGTGTTTGGATGAACTGGTGAAAATACTTGAATGCAAAGAGACTTATGGGCAGATTGTTTTACCGATCTTCTATCATGTAGACCCATCTGATGTTGATGAACAGACTGGGAGTTTTGGAAATGCATTTGCTGAGCTTGAAAAAAAATTTAAGGGGAAGATGGACAAGGTGCCAAGGTGGAGGGCTGACTTGACATACGCAGCCAGTATATCCGGATGGGATTCACAGGTTACTAGGTAACTATATATTAGTAACTATAGATTCTCTTCTTCAACCTTTTTTTTCCTGGAATTATAGCAATTAAAAGTTATTTATAGCAATTAAATTTTCTTGTGCGTATTATAGTTTTTTTTCCTCTCCTGTAAATCATTTTTGCTTGGAAAGGCACAAGTCTGTTCTGTTTTATAGTGGAAAACTAATTTCCATCAACAGCCAATGGACTTCCACCTTAAGGGTACAATATCGATGCTGCTTATAATAATAATAAAAAATTTTCTCATAAGAGAAGTTGAAGATGCTTCTTTCATTTTTTGCAGTCCGGAGGCCAAACTCATAACAGAAGTTGTGCAAACTATCTGTAAGAGGTTAAATCGTGCTTCCCCATGCAAATTAACAGGTCTGGTTGGAGTAGATTCACGCATTGAGAAAATCAACAAATTACTGTCCCATCAGATGTCCGCAAAATAGGAATTTGGGGCATGGGTGGTATAGGCAAGACAACTATCGCGGGAGCTTTCTACGATAGCTTCTCCAGTCAATATGAAGGCCACCACTTTCTTCCCAGCATAAGGCAGGAATCAGAAAAGGGTCGATTAAATGATCTACGAGATGAACTTCTTTCTAAACTACTGGAGGATGAAAATCTCCGCGTTCGCACACCACATATAGGCGAGAGGAACTTCTTTCTAAACTACTGGAGGAAGAAAATCTTCGCGTTGGCACACCACATATACCTACTTTCATCAGGGATAGACTCTGCCAAAAGAAAGTTCTCCTTGTTTTGGATGATGTGAATGATGTACGACAATTCCAGCATTTAATTGAAGTGCCTTTGATTGGTCCAGGAAGCGTTAATGGGATTCACAGGTTACTAGGTAACTATATATTAGTAACTATAGATTCTCTTCTTCAACCTTTTTTTTCCTGGAATTATAGCAATTAAAAGTTATTTATAGCAATTAAATTTTCTTGTGCATATTATAGTTTGTTTTCCTCTCCTGTAAATCATTTTTGCTTAGGAAGGCACAAGTCTGTTCTGTTTTCTAGTGCAAAACTAATTTCCATCAACAGCCAATGGACTTCCACCTTAAGGGTACAATATCGATGCTGCTTATAATAATAATAAAAAATTTTCTCATAAGAGAAGTTGAAGATGCTTCTTTCATTTTTTGCAGTCCGGAGGCCAAACTCATAACAGAAGTTGTGCAAACTATCTGTAAGAGGTTAAGTCGTGCTTCCCCATGCAAATTAAGAGGTCTGGTTGGAGTAGATTCACGCATTGAGAAAATCAACAAATTACTGTCCATTGTGTCATCAGATGTCCGCATTATAGGAATTTGGGGCATGGGTGGTATAGGCAAGACAACTATTGCGGAAGCTTTCTTCTATAGCATCCCAAGTCAGTATGAAGGCGACCACTTTCTTCCGAACATAAGGCAGGAATCAGA